AAGCAGCGTACGCTCTTCTGTGTCAGCCGCGCTGCACGGATGTGCTGTTTTCGTTCAAATTAAATTGTAAATACACGTAGAAAACATATCCTTGTGTTGCGGCTGACACAGAAGAGCGTACGCTGCTTGCATTCAGCGGATATTCTCCAAAATGGCGCTACAGTGATGCGGAGAGACACAGAGGAGACGAATTGTTGAATAAAGTCGTTATTTTTGTTTTCTTCACGTACAAAAAGTATTCTCGTCGCTTTATAACGTTACGGATGAACCGCTGATGGCAGATGGACTATTCTGACGATGTCTTTCATACTTTTCTGGACCTTGACAGTGTAATTTACTTGGCAGTCAATCGGACAGTCACAAGCCTCCCGGTTTTCATCCAAAATATCTTAAATTGTGTTCCGAAGACGAACGAAGCTTTTACGGGTTTGGAACGACATGGGGATAAGTGATTGACAAAATTTTAATTTTGGGGTGGAGTATCCCTTTAAGCTTCCGACATCTCTTTCAGTCTGAAAGAGTTTCCCTGAAAGTTTGAGTTCGAATAGTTTGCAAGTGCGTGATTATAAATACTGTAATGCTGTATAAGCTGAATAGTGAGTGTAAGAGTTTTTGTTTTGGCATGATGTTTAATGTCCCTGACAACCTCTGTAGTACTATTTAGCCACTTTGCACAAAATAATCACAAGGGGGTATTACTGATGTATTTTATGTTATAATATAAAATGTGAAAATATCTTGACCTTATTTTATATCTTGCTTTATTTCTGATATTTAAACAAAAACCCATTGACAATTATTTTTCTGGGTTCTGGCCAAAAAAAACTAAAAAATCTTTTGTGAAATTAGTAAATATAGTGTAAAATAAACTGTTTAATTTCAGCAAATCTGTGTGCATTATGTTTATTTACTGTCACTATTAAACTGTATTGTGTACATAAACAGCATTATATCAGTTATCTTGTCATTGTCAGTATCAACTGTTATTGAGTTGTGAGATATTACTGTTGATGTTTACTTACAGCATTTTTTCCAAACAGATTGGCAAGATGATTGTAGTCCTGCTCAGCGAAAGGCTGGATGGACTGCTGCTGCACACTCATTGTAAATAAAGGCTGCAGGAGGACACATGAGTCAAATCTTAAATGTAAACTCTCAAATGTAACATTTCAATGAGTGTTTAATACTTTGATCAATTGAATTTTACCTCATAACCACCAAGCCTGACTGTGACCGTAACGTCAACAGGATGGTTAACCACACCCACTACGGATTTAACTAGTGAAATGAAGAGTAGTGGGAACCAAATGATGCAAATGAGGAACAGAATGATAAGGCCGCCCATTCCATATTTGACAATCTTCTTTTTCTTTTGCCCTTTTGGTTGGGGATATTTCTGCAGAGAACAAGTTTAAGCCCAAAAGTAAGATTATGTACACATTAGAATCAAATGATCAAGATATTACTCTTTCCATGAATAAGGTACAAAACCTAAAAGTCAAAAATAGTGATCAACATCAGGTAATCAAATAAAATATTACATAAGCCATGAGATCATGAGATTTGCCATTTTTTTGCAACCCTGTCACCATGTGGAATATGTTAGAATATGGTTTAAAACTATGAACTGTTCAATTCTTTAAAAAAAACATTGGGTAAAAAGGGTTTCAAGTACTTACAAATTTCTAGTGCTGGGCAACGATTATTCGCGATTAATTGCATCCAAAATAAAAGTTATTGTATACATAATATACTGTATGTGTGTGTACTGTATATTTATTATGTACATATAAATACACACACATGATTGTATATATTTAAGAATTTTTTTTATGTTTTAAACCTTTTATGTTTAAAAAATGTTTATATATGAAATATATGTCTATATAATATAAATTATATGAATATAAATATATATATACATGCAAATACATGTTACTATTTTCAAAATATATACTATATGTGTGTCTTTATATATATATATATATATATATAATATACACAGTACACACACATATATATAAACAAAAACTTTTATTTTGGATGCGATTAATCGTGATTAATCGTTGCCCAGCACTACAAATTTCACTTGAAGAATCAGATATTTAACGCTAGGTTTTTTTTTCTTCAAATTTATTAAACATACCTACTTAGACAATAGTAATGTGACATCGATTTATATTCTGTCTAGAAAGTGCCACAAATATTCACTGTTTATTTAGGATCTTATGACCATAATAACCTGAATGACAAACGAATAACTAATTAATTTAGGTATAATCAAAAATGTTTTTGCATGCCAAAGAGGACCTGCTACCTTTTCTGTCTCTCGGCTGCATTTAATGATGAAGATATTAGCGTAGATATCCTCCACACACATCCAGTTGGAGAGAGACAGTGTCGTATCTGTCCAAACCCAGTCCATTACTGCTCGAAGCTCAACTAAAAAAGGAACCAGGCGGAAACTGAGGAAACAAATTAATTACATTTTAGTGTAATCTAAAAAAAATGGTGCCTATTACATATATGTGACCCTGGAGCACAACACCAGTCTTAAGTCGCTGGGGTATATTTGTAGCAATAGCCAACAATACATTGTATGTTTGTCCTATCCTAACAAACCATACATCAATGGAAAACGTATTTATTTTGCTTTAAGATGATGTATAAATCTCAATTTCGGAAAAATTTACCCTTACGACTTGGTTTTGTGGCCCAGGGTCACATATCATTCTATTAGTAAATAAACTTTTGCAGAAGACACTGAAAAATGAAGAAAAGAAAGTGCCCACCCTTGGAAAAGGAAGAGGTTGAGGTGATTGAATTTCTTCGTCAGGAAGTTTCCAAGGATTCGTGTAGGGTAGCCACAACGGATCTGATACGCTGACAAAGTGAAGTAGATGCACTTGAAAAAATACCAGAGCTGGGCCACTGAATTATGATTGAACATCCTGTGAAAATAAAGGAAATGATAAACTCCTTGAAAAATATCTCATTTGTCTTTGGTCACCAAAGATCACAGAAGTCGAAGATCACCTGTGAACCTCCTCCGACACTCAAACTGCATCTAAACACAGGTGGAGAAGCCTCCCTTACCTCTCAGTGACAGCAGGAAGGATGAAGAACATCCACAGGTGGATACCGAAAACCAGTATAACCTGGAAGATGAGCTTTCCCAAGATGCTCTTCCGCAAGTAAAGTGCACGGTCAATGATCATGGTGCTGAACTGAATGAGGAGCATGACTAGAAACGCCTCGGGGACCTGGTCCTCAGACAGGGAGGAGGCTATATCTGCTGCTGCCGAGTGTTTCTGAGACAGAGCAAACATTTCACATTCAAATGGCTCTCAACTGGTTTCAAGTCAACAAGTCTATTTCATTTGATTTCCTAAATGTAGTATTCTTATACATTTATCTTATTAGTATCTTATTATCTGCATTTAGAGTTGATGTTTTAACTGCTTTAACAGACTCAAACCAGCGCTTGAAAATGTTTCATTTAGGATTGGTTCCAAATCATGCCAAATTATGCTATTCCGAATGCAAATTCTGTAGGCATTCCTTTAAGATTTTTATGACTAAGAATGTAAGGTTTTTTATACTCACTCCAAAAGCCCAGAAACCGAACACGATGATGATAAAATCCACCACATCAGTAAGAAACATAAGAGCGTAGACATCAGTAGCTGCCCGATATTCTGCATGAAGGATGTTCTGGAAGAATCCACAGGTTGGCTTATAGACATTCTTCACTCTGCACAGATGAAAACACACCACAAGATAAAATGAATGGCAGTCAAACCCAAAATATCACAATAATGCACATCATGAATTCCACTACAAGATGAGCAGGGACCTGTGAATCAGCATACAGCTGGTGATATGGCATTGTATAAATTTGTGGTATGCTATATATCAATATTATTAGTTATTAATTTAAAAGATACACATTTATATTTGTGATATATTGCAATATTTTACTCATGTTTTTCTTTATCTGCACTGGACCTTGCACAATTATTTTCTGATCTTGTGTACAGTTTAGATTTTGGTGAAATAAAATTTCACTAGATTAGATTAGATTGTGACTTTACAATAAAATTCTATTTGTTAACATGAGTTAACTACATTAGCTAACATTAATTAACAATGCAAAATACTTCTAAAGCATTTGAGTTCATTTGACCATGTACCAATACATTATTAAGATCAGAAGATGTCTTTTTTGTTAATATTATTTAATGGACTTGAGCTAACATGAACAGTTGTATTTTTAACAAAGATAATAAATATGGTAACAAACATATTGTTCATTGTTAATGTTAGTTAATGCATTAACTAATGAGCCCTTATTGTAAAGCACTGCCAAAATAACTGAGTGTGTGCTGATCAATGCCACAGTACACTTTGTCTTCTCATAGGTTTGCTCTGCACGGTGATCTACTTTTTTATATTAAAGGGTTAGTTCACCCAAAAATGAAAATTCTGTCATTAATTACTCACCCTCATGTTGTTCCAAACCCGTAAGACCTTTGTTCATCTTCGGAACACAATTTAAGATATTTTTGATTAAATCTGAGGGCTCTCTGACCCTCCCATAGACAGCAAGGTAACTACCAC